GAACAAATTTTACTTTTCATCTGCTTAGGACTTGCAATTGCTGCGGAGAACAAGGTAGCGAGAACCAAGGCAATCAAGAGTTTCTTATTCATTTTTAGGTAATACTTTCTTCTTAATTTGAGTTTATTGAAGTCAACAAGATTGTTTTGTTAAAAAAAATAATGTCATCGATTTTTTTAATTACGTATTAAGAAAACAAAACAAACGCTAACCTAAAAGAAAACGATTTTTTTTTTGAAAAAAGTTAAGAATGAAATAAAGGTCCATTTCGAGGTTTATATAAGAGTCGATAAAACAAAAAAAAAGTTGCTTTAACGCAAAAGCCATATTTTGTGAACAGTTCTCTATAGGCTTCAACATCGTTAAGATTTGTCATGGAAAAAGCATTTTTGATCTTAGTCATAATATTATAGAAAAGACTCTAAAAACATAGCCACTGCCACTGTATACTTTACGCAAATAAGTTTCGATGACGCATATCACATATCGGAAGATGATTATAGAAAGAACGTTAACGTTCTCATTAGACTACTACTGTATACTAAATTTCTTACGATGCGAAGTTTTCCACATGGTGTGGCTTGTATTGCCATGGATATCCTTTATCATAATTTTACGTGATGTGGCTTCTATTTTGATGATTAGATGTATAACTAATTATCTGTACGCCTTATCATTTTCGGTTTCTCCAAGAGATATGTGCGTTATCTTCGGAGTGAACAGCAAAGCAAAGATTATCGTGATATTAATGTGGGGCGGAAGGCTGGAACAAAGTTAAGGCTTAGTCATCACGATCCAGATCAGATCATCAAAAATATTAGATAAACAATACAGTATGTTTATTAAAGCATTATGGAAATAAATAGCCTTTAACGGTTATATTCTATTATTCTCAATGTAGAGTGCCATAAATTAATACTATTGAAAGAGTTTACGCGGCCTTGCTAAGTCTTTATTATCAGATTATACTATAGTTATTCCTCTATTTCTGATGTTGTGGACTTGCACTGCGTAACTTGTGTAATACAGTATTCTCATCACATCTGTGCGGTTGCGATTTCAATTATTTGAGTAAATTTTTTAAACTATAAAAAACCGCTTAGATTATATATCCCGCTATATATATAACCACATGGCGAGAATTTGTAACAAATTTCGCGAATTTGCACGAAGTTTTCAGTCTAAACTTCTCGCGGAATTTAAGCTTTACATATATCAAATAAAATGTTATATATTGATACTTATTTTACTTCCTGTAATTCTAATTTCTTTGCACATCTGGTTTAGTAAATACACATTAATCTTTACCATAAGCCATGATAAATTACAATTAAATTTCATGTAAAATATAAATTTAAGGGTCACATTATTTGTGTAAAAAAAACTATATTATGTATGGCGTTTCAGAATTTACATTTAAATATTTCTGAAAATAAATCCAAGTCCTATTTAAAATTACTATTACAACATTACAATCCAAAAAGTATTATCAACTAGGAAACGGAAACCGTTGGGGTCCGAAGCATCCTTTTTACTAAGTTTAAAATCGACACATGCTCAAATAGAATAAAGTGATCTAATATTTTATATTTTAATTAATTCGAGCTTATTATATTAGTAATCCCCCGGACGAATTAATTACGTAATTTATAAGATTTTATCTTTAAAATAATAAGCAATTAACTAAAAGTTTTCATACCTGGATCCATATTATTTTCTTCAGAAAACTTCTTTGGTATACTTTTTTCACTATAACAGCGCCGACATTCTCCTCAATAGATGGAAATCGCTCGTTGCAGGTAGGACAAAGTCTGTTACTTAATTTTTTTTTTGCATTCTGGAAATTAAGTAAACACCTTCTATTTAATGTAGAAAGCTTTTCTACAGGTGCCATGTAAAGAAGAGATTTAGCATATTGGATGTTAGCATCCTCCGAAGTATACTTCTCATGTATAATTGATGTATTTTGAGCTGGAGTTTTATAACTATATCGATCTTGTATTCGAGCTAGACATGTTTCATGTTCATCGACAGTTTCTACTGCTAGCTTTTGACGCTTTCGTTGATGATTATGAGCAAGGCGTTCCTCATGCTCCTCAGGTGTATTATTTTCTCTCATTCTTCATATTCGAAGTGCATTAGGATTAATAGAATTTAGTGAATTGTTCATATTTTTGCTTTGGATAATTTTAAGATAATTAAAATAATTGAACATGACAATTTTTTATTTTAAACTTTTTTTAAATTTTTTATTAGGGCTCCTAATGGTACTACTTTGATACCTGTTTGATATCAGTTTGATACTTAAATTTATTATAAATTTATATGAGTAGATCATAACCCATATATTAAAATTACTATAGATCGGTACCATTTCAATACCACTTCAGTATCAGTTTGGTACTTTTTAGAGTCCTACTTTTTATACATTACATTCTAAATAAGCTTGAAAATAAATTTTATTACATACAGTAGTGGCAAAAAAAAATGGCAATTTTCTTTCATTTGTAAAAAATTATATTGTAAAAAAATTTTTTTTTTTTTTTTTTATTTTTTTAGTAGGTAAACATCATTTCTTTATTTAATTTGTATAGTGGTATATATACATTGTGAAAGAAACAACATCTCTCATGTGTAACAAGACAATGAGTTAAATGCTAGCTTGCCTACAGTAACCGCTTAACTAGTATTGAAAATAAATTTTAAAACAACACATCTTGTCAAGTGGCTCCGAGCGGCTATGAATACCTACTCAGTATTTTGTGAAAGGAAGTTAGAATAATCGGCTATTAATTTAGAAATACATTTAGAGAAGTTATATTTGCTTTGAATGTAGAAGTCTGCTACTGTGGTTGGTAAGTCGGTGATGATTAGATCTTGATGGGCAGGTGAAGAAGGGCTTTTGGATGTATTAGATTTGCTAGTGTTTTGATTGGTTTTCTTTTCCGTTGGAGTATTGTGGTGATTTTTATTCCATTTGATGCCGGTGATAGGAGAGGTATTGGCTGTGCTACATCGAGGTATCCAGATTAACTTGTAGAGTTGTGTTAGGGATTCGGTTGATGCTTTGGTCCAGTTGGTGAAATTGGATATGGAAAAGATATTGTCTGTAATGCCGCAAGCTAACTCCACTAGTTGCCATGCGCGAGAGATCGTTTCGTGATCACCCTCAGGGTGAAAGATGATATTGATATTGGAAATAATTTGCTTGATATTTTCTGCTGCAGACGGACACTTAAAGACATGTTGTATATCCTCAGTACAAAGGTCGCACCTGGGGCAATAGGGATCTGGGTATTGTTCGGGGTATAGTTCATGGAGATTTTTCCTTATGGGAAGTGTTCCTGAAAGTAATTTGATCCTGAAAGCGATCAGATCACTGTATTTGTTAGATTTGGTATATTTGATATCCTTGTTGGATTTGCTAATTATTTTGAGGCCGTGTGGGTTATGGAAGGATTTGAAGGTTTTTAAGATTGATGTGCTTTCGCAAATTATATAAGTTTTGGTGATACTTAAGATCTTTTTGCACCATCTGACACTGTTGCCGAGTTGTTGATTGTTGATTAGCGGACTTTCTGGGAAGTGCAGTAGAGGATTGATCCAATGGATGAGATTGTTGGTTTTTGGATTGGACTTTGGCTTGGTGTAAATAATTTGGATCGATTTGTCTTCAATTAGTTGATTGATTCTCACAATTATTGGTGCGAAGTTGACTTTGGTCATTCTTCTTGGATAGCTGGAGGTATTTTGGAGTATTTTCCTGTTGTTCCTGATTTCCATTGTACTGTTTAGTGGACACCAATGGAGAATGTCAAATAGGACATGCAAGAGGTCGCCTAATGGTTGGCCTGAGTTGGTTAACTCAATACTGGTATCATTTATAATGACTTTGCCTTGGTGAAGCTGAAGATGATAGTATTGATGGAATCCGATGCTTTGAAGTGATGAGATGGGAGGAGAGGTTGAGAAGTTGTCGACCGACTGAATGATGCTTTCACCTCTTTGAGGTGTATTATATAATTCATTGATTATATTGCTCAAGCGATATTCGGTTGGTTTATTGGGATTGGAGAGTGCCCACAAGGAGGATGCAGATGTGCTTGTAAAGGATATCGTACAGAGACCTGCTATAAGAGTTCCCCTTGGACACCCGCTGCATCTGACTAGGTTATTGTTTGGATCTATTATGTAATGCCTCCCTTTAAGAATAGTTCTCTCACATATATTATGACGTCTTTTATATGTTTTGACGAAACAGTTAATGCTATGTATGTATCAGAAGGATGGTTTGGAGTTGGGTATTGGACCATGAGAGCCAAGGAGATTGGTTGAATTGCAGAAGTCCTTGAACCAGCTGGGTTCAGGTCCACAACGCACTATGCCTGTATGTGATATGAGCTGGAACCATGTAAGCTTTTCATTGCTGTTATACTTTAGGAGTTGATTGATGAACTTGATGTTGAGGGCATTGGCTGTATTAATTGCTGTGGTTCTTTTGTTGGATTGTAGATTGTTAAATAGAAAGCCAATAGAGTTCTCAGCATTACTATGGTGTGTTGTGCAGTTGGGAGGACATATCTGAATTTTGATATCCTTGGCGATTTTGGCTGCGTATAATATCCAGTTGTCCTGGTTAAACTTTTCTGGATTACAGATTGGACAAAACCATATTGCTTCATTCTTTTGGATTGATTGCAATTCTTGAAGTAGATATTTCCTGGTGGTTGACATGGAGAGTTTAGATATGAGATTTCCGATTAAAGAAGATCTTTGCCTTTCTTCAAGAGATGTGATGTTAAGGCCGCAATGGCTCACGAGAATTGTATTCGAACACCTGGATGTAACTTTGTATGCTGATTTGATGAGTTTGCTCACTTTAGTTTGAAGTTGGTTGAGTGAGGTCTTATTGAGATAGGATGAGGTGAGGAAATACTCGAACTTCCCCATGATGACCCAGTCACATATCTGTTGTTTAATCTCGCCTTTCCAGTTGTGTTTGAGTAATTCTTTTGTAATCGTATCTGTGATTTGAGAGAAGGCTTTCCTGTTGGATTTAAGAGGTTTTCTGGGAGAAATGAGCATACCTAAATATTTTATGCTCTCATTGGGCTTTAGGATCTGGACCGGTGAATTATCAAATTTGATAGTACTGCTAAGGCCACGTTTGATTTTGATGTTTGAAATTATTTTTGTTTTTTCCTTGTTGCACGTGATATTGTTCATTTGGAAGAATTGATTTGCTGTTAAGAGGAGGTTTTCCAGTCTTTGTTTGCTATCAGCAATGAGGGCCAAGTCGTCCATATATGCCAGAGCGTTGGGAGCAATGTAACTTTGAATGGACTGATGGCAGGCTAGTTTGGTAATTAAAGGATCATAAAAAATGACCCAAATAATGGGTGATAAGGTTTCTCCTTGTTCAACCCCATTATTTACTTGGAAAGGGCTTGTGGCTCCAAACGGTGTATTGACAGAAACTTCTCTATTGCTGAGGAGATTAGTGAATAAGTCGATAATGTTTTTAGGACAGTTGATTCTTTCAAGAGATTTTTTGATGGAAGGAATGGGAGCTGAGTCGAAGGCCTTTGCGATATCTAGGGATGCGAACCAGAATTCTTTGTTGCTCGCATTAGCCGCATTTAGGGCGGAATTAACTATTGTTAATGGTTCCATGGTGCTTTGGTTGGGAAGGCCGGCAAAGTTGAATTCTGACAAAACATTATTTGATTTGAGGATTTTTGTTAATCTCCTGTTAATTATGCCAGTGAATACTTTCCTGACGGAGTCAATAAGAGATATAGGTCTTGTGTCATTGAGTTTGTGACTCCAAACAAGTTTTTTAGGAATGAGGGTGATGGTTGTCTGTTTCCATGATGCAGGGATAATGGAAGATGATAGGATCTGATTAAAGATATGGGATAAGTATATCACCGTCTTTTTGCCCATAAGTTTAATGATGTCATAGCTGACTCCAGATTTTCCGGGAGCTTTATTCTTGGGTAACTTGACGATAGCTTCTTGAACTATTCCCTGGTCGAATGGTTGTATTACATCATCATAAATTTTTGAATCGATTGTTTTAGTGGAGTATTCCTCATGCCAATTGGGGAATTGTTCTAAGCTGAAACTTCTGATCCGCAGAATATTCTTAAAATATTTGTTGATAACGTCTTGTATAAGGTCTGGATCATTTTCGATCTGTTCTTGGTCATTGTAGATTTTGTATAAGTCCAGTTTAGGTTTAATTGAGCCAAGTGCTTTCTGAATATACCCTTTGGGTTTATTGTAGAAATTTTCGGTCATGTTTTCGAAATTTGATCTGTACTCGTCCAACATTTCTTGCTGGGATTGAAGCAATGT